CTATACTTCCTCCCCTCCTCCCCTCCCCCCCTCCCCAGCTGAAGCGCGAGCTGAGCAGCGGCCGCGGCTTCCGCGTGGTCGAGGGCGTGGACCTCTGCGGGCAGAGGCATTAATTAATTAATTAATTAATTCATTAATTAATTAATTAATTCTTCCGCGTGGTCGAGGGCGTGGCGCTCTGCGGGCAGAGGAACACCGCACGCGCGCGCTAGTCTTGGTCAGTGAAGTAGTCGACGACGCGGCTCACCCCGTGAGGTGAGGCCTCTAGAAGCGGAATCTCTCCCCATATCTCCCTAGATCTCGGGCCCTGGAAGCGGAATACGTGTTCGTGTCTCCCAACCAGCGCCCGAGAGGACACGCACTCCGCCGTCTTCACCCGTATTCAGCTGTGTGCAGCTGTCTTCCTGTCCGTTGTCTTCACGCGGAGCTCTGAAGACGCTGCATACCACCGCCTTCCCGCCCTCATGTTGGCGTATTCAGCACGTAGGGTTGAGACGGTGCAGGAACTACTCGCTCAAGTTTGTGCACGGCCACGGCGTGCGCGCGACGAAGCCTCTCGACACGATGCAGTGAGTCCTGACTCCCCACTGTGTCTCCCCGCATCTCCCCAGATCTCCCCACATCTCCCCACATCTCCCCACATCTCCCCGCATCTCCCCACATCTCCCCAGATCTCCCCACATCTCCCCGCATCTCCCCACATCTCCCCACATCTCCCCACATCTCCCCGCATCTCCCCACATCTCCCCAGATCTCCGAGAGCTCGACACGACTCCTCGCGTCTCCTCACTTCACGCCTCTCCTCTCCTCTCCTCGCGTCACCCCGCCTCACCCAAGCCCACCCCACCCCCACTCCCCTCCACCTAACCTCACCTCTCCACCTCACCTCAGGTGCCTTCACCTCATCACCTCCTTCGTCGGCGAGGTATGAACGGCGTCTCTTCATACCTCCAGCTGTGAACAGGTGCCTTCACCTCATCACCTCCTTCGTCGGCGAGGTGTGCCCCTCTCCCTCTCCACCCACACACGCAACCGCGCGATGCCCCCTCCCCCGCCTCCTCCCGCCTCCTCCCGCCTCCTCCCGCCTCCTCCCGCCTCCTCCCGCCTCCCGAGGTAGCGATGACGCGGTGCTCAGACAGCGCCTCGATCTTCTTGGGCAACAGCTAGCTCTGCTGATCGCCGTGGCCCAACTCGCCTCTTCCTCCAAAGCCCCAGCTCCAGACGGCGCCGTCAGCGGTGAGGGCGAGGCTGTGGCTGCCTCCAGTCGACACGGCGACGACGCGCTGGCCAGCCAGCGCCTCGACCTTCTTGGGCAGCGGCAGGCTCCGCTGGTCGCCGTGGCCCAACTGGCCGCTCCCTCCAGAGCCCCAGCTCCAGACGGCGCCGTCAGCGGTGAGGGCGAGGCTGCACGCCCCTCCAGCCGACACAGCGAGGACGCGCCGCCCAACCAACGCCTCGACCTTCTTGGGCAGCAGCTGGTGCTGCTGGTTGCCGTGGCCCAACTGGCCAAGGTCTCCATCGCCCCAGCTCCAGACCTCTCCGTCGGCGGTGAGGGCGAGGCTGTGGAAGCCTCCCGCCGAGACAGCGACGACGCGCTGGGCAGCCAAGGACTCGACCTTGTTGGGCTGCAGCTGCCTCTGCTCGTCAACGTGGCCCAGCTGGCCAAAGGATCCCAAGCCCCAGCTCCAGACGCTGCCGTTGGCGGTGAGGGCGAGGTTGTGGCTCTGTGCAGC